TGTGCTCCAGGCCCTTCACCAGCTTCGTTGCCCTTCTCTGGACACGCTCCAGCACCTCAATGTCCTTCTTGGAGTGAGGGGCCCAAAACTGAACACAGGATTCGAGGTGCAGCCTCACCAGGGCCGAGTACAGGGGGATGATCACTGCCCCAGTCCTGCTGGCCACACTATTTCTGATACAGGCCAGGATGCCATTGGCCTTCTTGGCCACCTGGGCACACTGCCGTCTGATGTTCAGTGCTGGCCCAGGCCGTGCTGGTGGCACTGCTAACCCTGCCGTTCCGCCTCTCAGGCTCAGTAAAAGTCAGAGCGGCGATGAGGAGGGACCCCTGAGCGACAAGTGCAGCCGCAAGACCCTCTTCTACCTGATAGCGACGCTCAACGAGTCCTTCCGCCCAGACTACGACTTCAGCGCTGCCAAGAGCCACGAGTTCAGCCGGGAGCCGAGCCTCAACTGGGTACGTGAGCAGAGCGCCCTGAGGCAGGGCAGGTGCTGCACCCCTGCTCGGGAGGCCTGCCGTGCTGCCTGCGTCTGTCCTGGAAGAGAAGGCAGCGTGGATCTGGTGGGGGAGTGTCCAGTTCTCCAGGGAGCCCCACAGCGCTGCTGTGATCCCGGGTAACCATTCCCAGGGCATGCCTTGCTCCCTGCTCTGGCAGTGTCAGCCTGAGGATGAGGCAGTCCTCATCCTTCCCAGGAAGAGGTTTGTGGGGTGTCTTTTCCAATAGCCATCCTGAGGTGTTTTCCTTCAGCAGCAGCAGCCTTGCTTTTCACTCTTCTTTGGGAACGGCCTCTCGTAAGCCGGGTTTTCCATGCCAGCCTTGGTTAGGCTGCTGTTTCCCGGGGGCAGGTATTTGGAGGAAGGAAGGGTGAGGGAAGCGTTGGTGGCTTGAGGACTTCCGGGTCTGCTCCCCGGTGCTTTCATCCCTGTGCCCGTAGTGCTGGTGGCCGGACACTGCTTTACTTCGCACTGGACAGAGGGGTGGCTCTGCACAGCCTGCCAGGTTCTGCTCTGAGCACACAGTCCCTCCCAGCAGGTGCCAGGGCCTCTGTCTGTCTGTCTGTCTGTCTCCTGGCTGTCGGGGTCCAGCAAGGCTGCCCTTGTCAAGGAGGCAGATGGAGCAGGAAGTCCTCCCTGAGCGGGGTGGTTTGCCCTCTTTGCAGAGAGGCTTCGAGGAAGCCACCAAGTTCTTTGCTGGGAGAGACTTGCCCCAGAGATCCTCTGGTGGGTTTTCCCTCTGCAGCCATGTTGCCTCCCTGCTGCCCATCTCCTTGCTTCCACCTCAGCGCCCTGAATTAGCACAGCAGTGCCTGACCATCTTGCTTCTCCCCCTCCACGTTCATTGTCAGGCTCCGGTGCCTCCTCTCGACGGAGGAGGGACGGGGAGGATGAGCCGCGTGGAGCATGGGAGGGAGGTGGTGGGCAGGAGGGCAGGCAGCAGCTCCTCTGCTCCTCTCACGGGCCCTGGTCTTCCTAGGTGGTGAACGCTGTCAACTGCAGCCTCTTCTCTGCCGTTCGGGAAGATTTCAACGCCCTGAAGCCACACCTGTGGGATGCTGTTGACGAGGAGATCTGTCTTGCGGAGTGTGACATCTACAGGTAACGGGGCAAGCACTCACCCCTGCGCCTGAATCCTGGCCCCTTTCCTGCGTGCTATGGCCTGTGGAGAAACAGAGTTATTTTTCAATAAAAGGTTATGTTTTGGCGTGCCCACCTGTGTGTGCGTGAGGACTTCCCGCTGGAGCGGGGCAGGGCATCTCCTCACCGGAGTTCTTTGGCTCCCGGCTCCCTTCCCGTGGAGGGGGACCCGCTGCTGCCGTCCCCTCCCACGTAGAACTCCCACGCCCTGGAAATCTGCGCCCCAGGCAGCAGCTGCGCTGGCTGGCTCTCGCCCTCCTTGCACAGCCAGCCTGGGGCCACGGGCTGGTTCCTGCCGCCCACGCAGGCTGGCTGA